TGTCCACACGTTGTTACCTCTGAGCCGCTCTTGCCTTGATGTGCAGTGTTCCTCTGCGGGGTTCCGGGTTCCTTGGTATGTTTTCCTCTCTACGGAGCTGACAAGAAACATCTAAAGTCAGGCCTGGCTCTCTGCGAGAAAGAGAAAGTCCCCAAGGAGCCTCTTGGATCCTTCCTATGGTGCCCTGTCAAACCACACGTGGCTGCTCCCGACCCCAGGGTTTGCTGTGCAATTTTTTCACCCCTTCTCTGAGGCTGGACTCTACCTTTTCTCTTTTTTAAGATGTTTTATCTCTGCAGAGAATGTGCTTCCGTACAGAAAACTCCAGGGCTATAAGCCTGGTTTCTGCTGTCCCAGGGTTGATGAGAAGAAAGGGGATTGGGGGACCCGAACTACACAATTTGTGAAATATCACTTAATCTAGCCCTTGTGACTTTGCCCTACTCTGTAACGGGGTCCCTGAGTTTAGAGCCTATCCTCTGACATTTCCTTAAACAATATATCTTACACCTTTTCCGGGTGTTGAGGAGAGAATGGAACCAAAGACTCTCAGATCTAGCTGCTCCCTAAACAAACGGAGCCAATCCACTGTATGTAGGCCCTCCCTTTCCTTGAATCTTTTATTAAACCTTTCTCTTTGTTAGCCCTAAGTTAGCTTTGTAAGCACTTAGCTTTGCTCCCCTCTCTGCCAAGCACTACCATGTCTTCATCTGGTTCCGGTTTCTTGTTTCTTTTTTTTTTTTTAATCATTTTTGTTTTTGTTTTTGTTTTAATCACAACAAGTGTACTCTTTAGTCCACATTTCCTATTTCCCCATCCCCCCACCACCTCCCCTTTTGTAACCATTGTTTTGTTCTCTGTAGTTAAGAGTCTCTTTCTTGGTTTGTCTCTTTTTTCCCCTTTGCTCATTTGCTTTGTTTCTTAAATTACACGTATGAGTGAGATCATATGGTATTTGTCTTTCTCTGACTGACATATTTCACTCAGCTTCATGCTCTACCTCCATCCATGTTGTTGCAAATAGCAAGATTTCATTCTTTTTTATGACTGGATAATATTCCATTGTACGTATATACCACATCTTCTTTACCCATTCTTCAGTCGATGGACACTTGGGCCGCTTCCAAGTTTGGTTATTGTAGATAATGCTGTAATAAACATAGGGGTGCATGTATCCCTTTGAATTAGTGTTTTTGTGTCTTGGGAGTAAATACCCAGTAGCATGATTCCTGGATTGTAGGTAGTTCTATTTTTAATTTGTTGAGGAACCTCCATACTGTTTTCCACAATGGCTGCGCCAATTTGCATTCCTACCAACAGGGCAAAAGGATTCCTTTTTCTCCACATCGTTGCCAGCGCTTGTTGTTTCTTGTGTTTCTGATTTTAACCATTCTGACAGGTGTGAGATGATATCTCATTGTGGTTTTGATTTGCATTTCAGTGTATCAGTCCCAATTATTATTGCAGTGCGTGGTTTATGAATTTGCACTGCACTTAAACCTGGGTGTAGATGTGGCTTGTGATAGAGAACTGACTTCTTATGCTCAGAGTTTCGTAAAAATGGGAAGCTTCAGATGCCAGACCATTTACTTTGCCATCTGGTATAATCCTGAAGAGTGTTTTTGTCCCAGACATGGATGGTGTTCCTTTTTCAGGTACTGATTTGCCCAGGCACATGGGTATTGGGCTTCTAACCATGAAAATGGTCAGGGCTGAGTTAGGCAGGCTTCTGGCACCTTTGAGTTGGTGGTCATGGGCAAAGCTGCCCAGTACATTTGGGTAGATTGTATACTGAACAACTCTAGGTTGTCCTGGTTCTGGGGAAGCCAGGTGCCAATGTGGGAGTAGAATCTGAACCCTGAGGTCTCCTCCCAATGTTTATTCCACTCCCCAATATTTTCCTTCCTCTGCCATGGTTAAGCACTGGCAATCCAGTGCCTATCACCAGCACTCTACAATGGCTTTCTTGCATATCTGTTTTCAGTGGCTGTATAGTATTTCATTATATGACTATACCATCATTCATTTGTAAGTTTGCTGTTGGTGGGCATCATGGAGTTTTCAACCCTTTGCAATGACAAATAATGCTGAAATAAAAACTTGTATATGTTTGTACATTTGTCTGCAAATATCTCCAGGAAAAATTCCTCCAGGTAGGATTTTCTTTGACTCATCTCCCTTGACAATCATATCTAAGCGGTTGCCACTGGCCCCTTTCCTTTTCTTAACCTTCATCCTCCCACGTTCGAGCCTTCATGACCTCTTGCTTAACCAACTGAGCCACCCAGGCGCCCCAATGACCTCTTGCTTAAATTATTGCAGTAGCCTCCTACATGGGTCAGTCTACATACTGTCTCCTTTATAATGTATCCTAAACATGGTTACTAGATCTCACTGCTCAGATTATGTTACACCTGTGTTCCAAAACCTCCCAGGGTTCATGATTGCTGATTGAACCCAGTATTAACCCCCCCATGCACCCCGCCCAGCATTCAAGGCCAAACCACAGAATATGGTTCCAGCCTGTCTTTGGAGTCTCCTCCCCCATGTTTCCCCCACATTCCCTCTGCTTCAGCAGAATCAGATACCTTGCTATTTCCTGAGCTTGCCTGGCCTCTTGTCTCTTTCTGTGCCCTAGAGCTCATTTTTTTACTCTAAGCGTGTCCTTCTCTTACAAGTGTCCTCCCTTGTCTCTGCCTGTGCAAATCTTTCCCAGACCTTAATGCTACCACCCTAGTCATGTTTTCTGGATTCTCCCACTCCGCAAACTAGATGTGATGCTTCTGGTTCGAAGCCCAGCTGTGTTCTTTCTATCCCCTGCTGGCCTCAGATCCTGTTTTTTGATTGTAATCTTTTGTGCTGCTGGAAACCAGTGGTAGCTGGACAGCTGGAAGCCTGCATCCTCTGACGCATCTAGTAGAGTGCCTTGTATAGATACGGCATTACAAATATATTTATTAGCTTAGATCTTTGCAATTTGTAAGTTCACTTACCCCAAATTAGCATAGCCCTTCAGCTTTGGGGGAAGAGATCATACACCTGAAACCATGAATATGGAAGTAGATTACCTTTCCAGTGTGTTTAGTCAGAAACAAATTGGCAGTAAGGTGGCATTCAGGGTAGGAACAGGAGCCCATCACATCTGCCTTTCCTTCCCCTGGCATCCACTGCTGCCCCTACATAGCCCACACGGAGTAGGGTCCCACTGGACTTGGAAAGGTGACTTCTTGCCAGCCACAGCAAGCAAGGACTCGCATCCCCATTTAGGAGGAATTTCCCCTGACGATCCACGGACTTTCATTAAGGGGATGTTTGCAAACATCCTGGTTCTTGACTCACACTCATTGTCAGCAGGATGACATTCTCAGGAGAGGAATTGGGAGGCGGGGGAGTTGCTAGGGGAAGCTAGAAAGTGGAATCAGGTCAGGGGTCCCTGAACAAAATCTCCTCTCCTTTCAGTGACCCAGAAAGCCCCCACCTTACGTTTGAGGACACTAGAAGGACACACAGGTAGTCTCCCCCTTGAAGTACTGATTATCCACTTTCAAGCTCAGGCTTCTCATAATAATTATACTCTCTCCCTTGGGGGGGGGAGTAACTCTCACCTAGTTCAAGTTCTCATTCATTCACTTATTCAACAAATGCCAGTTGTGTATGTCCCTGCCCTTAAGGGGCTTACGGACTAATGGCGCATGACAATTCCAGGATTCTTTTGCGAGGATGTGGAAAGAGAACCAAGGTTTCAGACTTTTACTCCTCAACCCCACTCTGACCTCTGCTTACCACATAGTCTCTCTCACTGAAGAGTTCAAATATTCAAAGTCAGAGTTGCTGTTGTCCTCAGCCTGCACTTTATACCCTGCACATTATTCCTGGAATCCTTTTATCTCTAGTGCTTTTTATCACGGGCTGGTATTTATTTTGGTACCATCCTTTGCCAGATTAAATATTTATACTTATTTAATATTCTCTCTGTTGTTGAAAAGAACAATCCAAACGTTGAATAATAACAATAAAGTACTTTATTGTCTTAATTTAATCCTTCAGTCACCTGGGAGGTCTCCAGAGCTTACTCTGTGCCTTTCCTGTTCAAGGACACTGTCCAAGGAACAAAACTGAGACTTGAATCCAGACCTGCTGCTTCTGGATCCCAGTATAAGTCTTCAAATCCTTGTTTTGTTAAGACTCAAAAAACGTATTTGCTCTAAATGTACAGTTCTCTACCTGATAAGGTTTGATTACCGTTGACTGTGCAGAATATGTCACTCTAAAAATACATTCTCTGTCCTACTGATTTACAAAGAAGACTGGCGTCACACATTCAGCTGCTCTACTCTTCTTGGTAGAGACAACCTTCTCTCAGCTAGAACCTGAAACGCATCTCGTATATTCTCTAGATGCACCAAGTTCATCAGGAGTATAAATACTAGCAAATCCTGTTGCTTAGGATATAATGTCATCTGAATATGAATGATTACGTGTGTTTTAGGATAGAAATTATTTGGTAGTGTACTATTTTGGCATTTTCTCCTTGGAATCGGTTTTCACAATTTTAACGTTAAAATATTATTCCATCGTGTGTATGTGTGTGGGTGTGTTTCAGTCATGGGCATCTTCTTTTGAGTCTCATTAGGCATGGAAAAGCATAAGCCTGCTTTAACCGCGCTTCCTCTGGTCCTGGGAAGTTTTCAGGCTAACTTAAAACGGGATTTGTTATATAACATACATGCTGGGCATTGGCGTGTGGGGAGGGGGGCCTAGGAGAGGATCGCCCCCTTGGTTTGTGACAGACTGGCAGCTTTTTCCTCTAGTATGTGCCATAGCTGCAGAGCCAGATTTAAAAGAGAGGATTTATAGGAAATCCAGCTGTGAGTTTTCGTTTTCTCTCTCAGAGCTGGAGGCGGGGCCAAACCCAACCTCAAACCAGGCACACCATTGATCAGGCTAGAATGATGTGGAACAGTGTCACAGACAACAGCTAAGCACAGAGGAAATATTAGCTGGCAGAGATAACGAAGAGGAAACTCTCAGTGACAGATGCACCATCTGTCAGTTCCGGAGGAGCAGTTTTCAAGAAAACAGAAAATGAAATGAAGAAGAGAGTGGCTTTGTTTCAAAAGTACAGCCCAGCCTAAGGACATTTTTCAACAAAGTAAGTTTGTATTCCATAGGAAAGGAGGTGGTGGTGGGTAAGACAACAGTGACTTCCTATTTGCACCGTGAGTTGTGTTACCGATATATAAAGTTTTCTTTGTGGTGTATTTGATCATTAGAAGGACATTCTTTTAACAAGAACTTTCCTTAAAATTTAAAGCAGTGCCTCTCGTGTTGACAACTCACTTGAAAACCATTTGAAAGCTACAATAAGGTTTGTTTTACTTTTATTTATTGTCTTTATCTCAGTTAGACTATAGATACTGACATAGGACTTTTTTTCCTTCTTTTTTTGAAATAGGAGCAAAATTATTTGTTATCTTTCCCTAAAGGCAGTTTAGTGAGAAAAATGCCCATCTCTCAGATTTAAGGGGCTGGCAGAAAGTGCTGTCTATTGGATGTTTAATTCCATGGGTCAGTTATGTAAATAGCCGTGAATACGACCTAGACTTCTACGTGCCTTCCAGATCATCGTATTATGTTGACATCGTTTTTAAAGGAAGCTGCTTCTGGATCTTTTAGTTTGTCTTTCTCCCAAAGCCTTCTATCCTTTTCCAGAACACAAGCTGCCATATCAAACAGCCCTGTTACTTATGGTTAGCGTGTTTTTTTTTAAATATACTAGTTTTAAAACAAAGTTGGACTTGTGCTGTCTGTTGTTATGTGTTCCATCCAAGTGGTTTGCGTTTGATGTCCTGTGTCTCATGTTATATTAGGCTGGGATTTGTGTAAGTCCAAAGGGATCTTAAAGAGTGATTTGGAATGATAAGCTTATGTGAATGATAGCAAAGTTTTGAGGAGGATCACAGGAGCCCCTCTGTTGGAAAAAGGTGATCCTCTTACGTTTTGCACGGGCAAGAGGGGACTTGGGATGCATTGGCGTTAGCAGGCTACCTCGTCCAAACCAGAAGTAGACGCACTGGCTGTAAACTCGCCAAAGCAGAAACCACTCCGTGTTATGGCCCAATATGGATGTCAGAACTCTGTAGCATGTGTGGGAAAATGGCTGCAGTCCAACGTCTGGAATCATTTATCTTCTGGTAGAGTCTAGAAGACAACTGTTGTATGCGTTTTACAGAAATCCCCGCTGATTGATTTCATTTACATAGAGCAAGCACAGTGACTGATGGTGGGGACGACTGCAAGTGGGGGAGAAGTATTGATCTATTTCTGCCTTGCCTGACATCCTCGTCTCATTAGTGTTCTTGGCACCTCTGAATGAGATCGTGCCGCTACTGACAACCATATGGTTTCTACGGGGCCCTTTCCACACGTTCCATAATAAATGCCACGTTTGTGTCTTTTCTTATTGAGGAAGTCATAAACTGAAGGTTGAGCGGTTTGTCTTGCTGTCTTTTTGGAGCTTAACCTGTTTCCTATGGTCTAGATTTGAAGAATGAGAAGCAGGAAAGTATTCAGAGGCAGAGTTCCCGGTGCGGCCTCAGTAGTTGTTGAGAGATGTATGCAGGATACGCTGAGAAATTCTGGAACATGCTCTTCTTGATGTTTAAACCCGTATCTGCATGTGAGGGTGTCAGCTGTGCCAGCCGGTGTATTCTGTGTGAGTTGAACTCACATGTGCTGACATACGCTGACATGTGACAGGGTAGCATCCAGATCTGTGTGTCAAATGTGTGAAAGAATATTTGCCAGTTTCTGACAGTACCCATGTCAGATCTCATGAAGACATTTTTAATTTATTGCAGGGACCAAGATAAGAGTCAAAAGCTTTGGATTTCAGCCACTACCCTTCTGCCACCTCACTTGGTGACCTTGAGGAAGATAACTAACCTTTTAATAAATCTGTTTCGCTGCTTAAAATGTCTCCCAGAGACATTTTAAATGTCAGTCGGATATTTATAATGTGTCTTATGCCGTTAAATTTTAGTATTTATGTCATTTATGAAGTTGCCTTCATTTTCTCAGACAGAACTACACTACACTAAAAAAGCCGAAAAACTCTGGGTCGCTAAAAACAAAATGCAGTAATCTCATATAAATAGTACTTTCGTTTGCAGAAGCCTATACTGAAAAGTACTTGCACCGGTCTTTTTTCTCTATGTGGAATTATCCTTTGATTTTCTCACCACAGTTCTGGCATTGTGGAAAACCAGTCATCTCAAACAGGTAGAAGTTTTAGAAGTTGGGTTACAATTGGTGCAATACTGCTTTGATATAGTATGATTAAATATATATAATATTTTAAGTTTCCAATGTTAAAGAAAATGGATGATAGTGCAAATTCAGGTACCTAATATTTTCTTTTACATTTGATATCTCCATATATGTCATATTGAAATAAATACATGCTAATATATATGCTTATCTTCATATAAGACACATATATGTGTGTGTGTGTATATATGTGTATATATATATATATATGCAAGAGAGAGAAAGAGAGAGAATCTTTCCAAATATTTTGATACAAGCAACAGTGTATAAAATATTAAAAGTAAAAGATAGGAGTCACTAGGGTATTTTCATTTTAAACCATTTTCATTTTAAGTGATCAACATGATAGCAGCTTAGTATAATACAAAGGATATCAGAAGTCAGAAGTCAGACCTGCCAAGATCAGCTGCCAGTACCACCATGCTCCCAACAACACTATCCCCAGGAGCACCGTTTACTGAATTGTGGAGCATGGCTGTGTGACCTCGGGCCAGTCACTTAATTCTGCTGATTCATAGTTCCTCTGTGGTGCTATGGGTAAGAATGTATACCTTACCCCATTAAGTTGTTGTTAAGGTCACATGACACAAAAATGTACATGATAATGCTTTGAAAACTTTAAAGTCACTAATTGCTTCCTGAAATATTCCCTTTTTTGCCCCTGTCTTAACAAATCCTGCCCATGATTCAAAGACTTCTCCTAACACTCTTCTGATCTCCTTAAGGGTGTGTTTTTCTCCCTCTTTTGAATCCCTAGAGCCCTTTTTGGAAGGACTAACCAGTTTGCTCGTTATGTCCCTCCCCCTTCCCCTCAATTTGACCCTGCTATTCCATGTGCTTTCACGTCTCCATGCCCTGCTTATTTCAGTCCCCAGGCTCTACTAAATGTTTTCTCTATACTTTTTATCATTGTCTTCAGCCTCCAAAGCTACCTAAAACATTACCAGTCTTCAGAGCCTTACCCAGTATTTTTCCCCTATAGAGTCAAGGGCCTTCTTCATTCATAGTTCCATAGGATAAACTTGTAATAAAGTTCTTATCTTGTTCTACTAGATTTCTATTTATATTTCTCTCTCCCTTGGTAAGCCTCTCAAAGACAGGCAAGGTGCCATGTTCTTTGATTCCCTAGTGCTTACCCTAGTTTCTCATAACTGACTGGTTTTCAAGTCATGTTTGTTGAATGAATGAACGAGTCAATCTTTTCAAACCTCTCTGAAAATATTATCTTGTTTGTGGTACACTATAATCACATAACCTTTGGGACAGAATCCAGATACCCATTTATTTATCTGGAATAATATGACCATTTTAGTGTATGTAATAGCATACAGACCAATTCAGAATGGGAACCCGAGGCTTCAATGACAGAGGCCCTATATGTAATCACCAGTAAGTAAGTGGTTACCCTACATAGTCATATCTGAGTCCTACTAATTATACTGAGGTAACCAAAGATTAAAACTATCAATCAGCGGTCTCTGTTTGGAAAGATCCTTGATGTATCTGTGGCTAGATATGGTGGTTGTTGCTGTTGTTTTTAGATTTTATTTATTTATCTTAGAGGAGAGAGTGAGCAGGGGAAGGAGCAGAGGGAGAGGGATAAGCAGACTCCCCGATGAGCACGGAGCCCTACATGGGTCTTGATCTCACAACCCTGAGATCATGACCTGAGCCGAAATTAAGAGTTGGACGCTTAACCGACTGAGCCACGCAGGTGCCCTGCTAGATGTGTTTTAAAAAGAAAGTCTAAGCATTTTTCTGAAAAGCAGTTTGGCAGTATTTATCAAGACCCCCTGACCCAGTAATTCCCCTTCTAGGAAATCATCCTGAAGAAGTGGTAAACAAAATAAAACAAAACAAAAGAATGTAGACAAAGCTCTCTGAACCAAGATGTTTAACATATTATTCATAAATAATATGAAAAATGGCAAATAAGTGACCAGCATTATTTTTAATAATCCAAATAAAGTTCTTAATAATCCAAAGGTTGCCTGATCAATTATACACTAATAGCACTGACCTAAGGGCTGCCTTTTTTTAAGATACTTTGCAAAGAACCAGGGACATACCTAGAGCACAGTCAGGTTTAGCAACTTCATGCCAGGCTTCTAATTTTCTGCTCTCCCTTTTTTAAATTTAGAAAATGTTGAACATATGGTAACCTTTGAGGCCAAAGTTTGAAAACTCTTTGAGGGAACAATGATCTTAGCGTCAAGAGGGACCCAAGGGGCCTGTTTTACCCATTTCCATGAAAAAATAGACTATCCCTGAGAGATGGAAATCTAACTGGCCCAGCTTTTCTCTTGAGTTAAGGTTAAAAACAGTTAAAAAGGGGAAACTTGAGTCTACTTGTGAAATGACTATGAAAACTATGTAAATTGTGGAAGCTTTTTATAATCCCTTATTTAATCTCCTCTTACGTGGAATAACTGGCAGAGGGAAAGCCATTTTATCATAATAGTTTCTGCAAGTTATATCAGGATAAACCACAGGAATACTGGAAATAATCTATCAAACCAAGGTCGTGTGGTTAGTTGAACACTGAACTGATTTGGAAGCTCCACTGTGTTTACAACCTCATTGATAAATGGGTCAGGGCCCTCACCACTGAGATACACTATCCATCACGTACTTCTTTGTTCAAGAAGGGAAGTTTTCTTTTTTCATTTCTTGGAATAATACTTTAAATGCATCCCCACTAAAAGTGCCACTCCTTGATGCTCTCAGTAAAGAGACTGGAGCGAAGGACTGTCAGTGAGCGGGAGCACTTCCTCAGTACACCTTTCCATCTTGGCTTAAAAGGGTAGAGAAGCAGGTGCTTTC